CTACCACCTGAGCTGCATGGTGATTGAGTCCTCGCTGCAGAGCAATGGGCTCTTATGTGGGCCCTGCCTGCCTCCATCTTGGTCTGGAAATCATGAAGGCTGGAGGTCAGGTATCACCCTGTCATTGAGGGAGAAAGAGGCTTTGGGATCCATCAGACATGCACCCAGACAAGGTTGGTCCTGTAGGTTTAGGAGAAACAGAAGCTAAAGAGAGCAAGCAGGAGGGCAAAGGAAGATGAGAGAAATATGGGACCTTGAAGGTTATTGTAGAAGAGAAAACCAATGAAGGGTAGAGGAGAAGCTGAACGCAGTGATTAAGTCAAAGGGCTTTCAGATAAGTGAAAGAATACCCAACAGGGGTGTGGGAAACAGAAGAGTCAGGTAGAGAAAGAGAGGAGGGAGGAGGACACAGGCAAGAAGGAAGAAGGGTCCAATGTCACAGAGAGTCAAGCTCCTTAAAGGTAGTGTCTTGGGTTGACATGCTGTTGTTCTATCTTGTTTAGAGAGGCAGCTATTTGAATATGCTTTCTCATTGCCATTTGAAAAACTCCTTAACTTTTCAGCAATTAAACTTATTAACCATTTTTCAATCCAAGAGTTACAAAGTGGCTATTATAGTCTGCAGAAAGGCTACTCTTTTTTGGGGGGGGGTCCGGTAGTGGGGCTTGAACTCTGGGCCTGGGCGCTGTCCCTCAGCTCTTCAGCTCAAGGCTAGCGCTCTACCACTCGAGCCACAGAGCCACTTCCGGCTTTTTTCTTTTTGCTTATGTGGTGCTGAGGAATTGAACCCAGGGCCTCAGGCACATGCAAGGCAAGCACTCTACCACTGAGCCACCTTCCCAGCCCAGAAAGGCTAATCTTTTACTGCTTTAAAATAGACCAGAATTTATTGAGTTGTGAAACAGTTGAGAAAACTAAATATGGCCACTATTTAGCTACTTATATCCTTATTTATCTTGATTTTCTTAATTGTAAAAATATTATAATCATATGTTTTAAAAATGGAGACAGAAACATGAAAATAAAATTACATACCTCCATAACCTAACAATTACTTTTGTTCGGCAAGAATTAACTCCTAATATTTTATATATACTTTTTTATTTGCAATTTTGTAGAATTTTTTCAAAACAGACTACATCAACAGACTACAGATTTCAGAAACAACAAAAGAGATATTTAAAAATAAAAAGCAGTACCCTTCTTTCATCGTAGTTTTGAGTTCTCCAGTTTTCCCCCACAATTAAAAATGCTCTTTATTTACTCCCATGGATGGCCTAATCTGTGTGCATACATTCCTTCACCAATACAATACAAATGCACAATACAAATATGTGTTCACAATACATGTACATTTTTTTGCTATCACACTTAATTTATTTTTCCAATATGGTAGCCTATCTACGTTTTTGCATTGTTTTTCCACTTCACAATATCCCATAGAGATAAATTCCATGTACAAAACCTTTAAAATTTAATATAATGGATACACACATTGCCATTCTCTTTATTCTCATCATCCTTAGTGGCTGTAAGAAGTTAGAGCAAATGATTCATCTCTTCCTTTAATAAGTATTTACCAAGCACTTGCCACATCTGCAGAGCAACAGTGATTCTAAGATGGATAAAGAAGATGAAGCACATCCTTGAAGGACTCACAGAAGAATGGCTGACACAGACAGGTAAACAAATAATTACAGGTAGGCTCTATATACCAAGGTGGAAGAAAGTAAGTGCCAGGAGAATAAAGGGAGGATATTCCAAGACCCTTGAATGAAATGTTGAAGAGTTAGGGAGTCAGCTCATAGACAAGGAGCAAGAAGAGACACCAAGAATGAGATATGCAAATGACATGACCACCTGGTCCAGCTGGGTAAAGATCCTGCTTTTCGGTCTTGAACTTGTGGCTAAGAGATCCATATAAAAAATGCAATTATATGTAACTTACAGTAGATAACTTTTTCTAGATTTTGGAGAATTTCTTTGGCTAGAGTCCCAGAAGTGGGATTGCTGAGTCAAACTGTAGAAGGACTCTGACCTCTACATCCAGCCAGAATGCTTTCCAGAGGGACCATTTTGTTTTGTGACAATACCCACAAGCGATGTATGTGCACGCTGGGCCTCCGTAGCTTCTTACCTGTACCGTTTCTTTGTTTGAACATGTATTTCTTCGATTAAAGCTAAAGATCCCTATGGATTTGTTACAACTTCTTCTTATGTGGGTTTTTGTTTACATACAACCCTTGAGAATCTATATTCAACGTTAGCTGTCATAAGCCTTACTTACAATGCAGATATTCAGATTTTCATTTTTCATGAAAGGTGCCAATATCTTTTTCTGGTTGGGTTACATTTTAAAAACTTCAACGTAAGTTTTTAAGCTAGATCCATTTGTACCAATTTCCTCTTTTTTCTTCTAAGTTGAGTAGCATTTCTATTTAGAAGTTTAACAAGTATTCTCTTTTCTTCTGGTTTGTCTTAATATATATTTGACTCATTAATCATTAGAACTTATGTTGGCTATATGAAATGGTCTGAGAATTCAACTAGCTTTTCTCCTTCTCCCAATTACCAATGAGTTATTTGAACTTTACTTTCTCTATTGATTTTTCTGTGTAAGACTTTATTTCTTTAGATCAGTTTTGTGTTCATGGTGAAATGGAGATGAAGCTGACATACTGTAAGATTGCTTGTTGCACGACACGAATAGGGAAAGGAAGGGGTGAATGGACAGGGTACAGATGGCTTTTAGGACAATGAAAATATGCTATATGACATGGTGATGGTGACATGTGTCATTATACATTTGTCAAACCCTAGAGAATATGCTATGTCAGGAATGAATCCTAACCTAAGGACTCTGGGTACAAATGATGTGCCAATGAAGTTTCATCAATTGAAGCAGATGTACCACTGTGGTGTGGGGTGCTGGAAAAACTGTATGTGGAGACACAGGGGGATGTGAGCTATTTCTATATCTTTTTTATTTCAAAGATTAAATCATTTAGGGATCAACTAGGTCATCCATTGGATTGAATTTCCAGCCCTTTTCTGAAACGTGTCACATCAGCTTAAGACAGACATTTCCTCTGACTTATCCAGTGTTCCTGCAGCAGCGTTTCTATTTATATATTGAAAGTATGACAACACAGCACCAATAGGCTTAGGTAAAGCTTGTCAGTGTTTTGTTAATAGGGAAATCTGCCACGGAAAGACCTTACTTTGGAAGCCTACCGGATTGATGGCGGAGTAGTGGAGGGCACTTTTGAAGAAGAGAGATTGCAAACAGCTGAGGACACTGTTAGTCAAGGTCCTAGCGTTGGTGGGAAGGATGAATAGAATCTGCTACCGTTATGGGTACCCAGGCTCAAGTCTGTGACTTCAATACAGTTTCAATCTCGTTGGAAGCCAAGCCCATTAGGAAATGTGGTTTATTGCAAAACAAAAAGGAACTCCTGGCCTTACTAAAACTTGACTGGGTTGTCAGCCAGCCAGCCAGGGTTCGAGCTAGGCGAGAGTTAGCTAGCTGGGAACTGCCAGCCAGAGACTCTCCAACCTACTGAAGTGCCACCTGCCAAGCTTATCAAACATGTAGATTTCTGGGCCAGTAGGAGGTCTCGCTGGGTGGGCTGTGGAAACTTTCCTGACCTCTCTTTGAAGCCTGGAAAAGATTAAAAAAAAATTCCCATAGATGCTGCTACAGATTTCTGAAGGATTTTCCTCTTCCCGTGAAACACTGGTACCTGCGTTCCTGGCACCTGAGAAAAGTGCCCCCAGGAGGGCGGACACGCACAGCTGGGCACATCTGCTCAGGTAAAGTTCGGCGACAATTTCCAGACGTTCTGCGTCCTGTCCTTCCCCAGAGGTCAAGAGCTTACTTGATTGGTGATCATCCAGCCCAATCGGATTTCTCAGAGGACGGCTGAACCTTCAATGCCACCATCACCCAACGTCCCACAACTGCTTCTGGACTGATTGGAGTTGGAAAGCAGTCAAGGACCACCGGCACTAGTCGACTAGTCGATGGGGGGGGGGAGCGGATAGAGGGGTTTGTGTGGTTGAAACAGACTAGTCTAGGGTCAAGCTAGTTCGGAGCCATGTCTCTCGCGCCCTGTGCCCGTTTAGACTTGCTTTTGTAATGCCATCTCCCCCCACCCCCATTCTGTCCTTTGTACCCCCTCCTGGAAGTCCATGACCATTTTCCTCTCCTGCTCCTGGGGGCCATAGTGTCTCCTGCTGTATACCGGATGGTGGAGAAGGGGGCTGCGGTTAAGCTCAGAAGTTGGGGGGGGGGTTCGCCCAGCCCCTCTGCCATGGGGCGACCCTCTCTTCCTCCAAAGCCGCGGGTGACAGCGAGACGATGTGCACCTCATCACTCCGGGTGACTGTAGTGTCCAAAGGGGAGCGCTCTTGGGGTCTGCCCCACCCCCACCCCCGTACCCCAGGGGTCAGGACTGGTGGGGGGGGGAGGAGGTGGGACAAGGCGGGGGAGGAAGGACCCGACGGCGGCGGCGACGTGGTGCCACCGCCAACCCGGGGGCGCCCGAGTCCGTGCGCGCGCACGCGGCGCGCCC